ATCTGTGTGGATAATTCCAAAATGATGTAATCCAGAGAGCTCAATGTAACACCAGAGCAAATATTAATTAAATAATTGACAAAAAGACAACCTTAAGGCTCCAGTCACCAGTAACTAGAGATGTGACCTGATGAACCAGGAAAATATATTTTCTGGGGAAATTATTATAGTCATGGAACCTTAAGGTTGTCTCTTTCTTAATTATTTAATTCATATATATATATATATATATATATATATATATATATATATATATATATATATATATATATATATATATAGTTTATAAAAAACTAGGTAATCCGTATGGGCAGACCCAAGGAGGATGATATCCAAAGAACTCAATGTAAATTCAGAGCAAATATGTTTGAATAAAAACAGATCCAGAGCCCTTTGAAGGGGTTGTGGTGAAATAACTTATTACATGGAACCTTAAAAGTGATCTGTTTTATTCAAACAATATATTCTATATATATATATATATATATATATATATAATGGAATATGCGTACACCTGTGTTCCCCCTCACTGGAATATGATTGGCTGGTGTCCGTCATAAATACCGACGGACGTGTAGGAGAGTCAGAGCCTTAATCTGAGAGTTAAATCTATAAGGACGCCCATTGGACTACGCCATTGATCTACACTTCTTACCTGCGACTACGACGCGTACCAGTCAATTACTGCTACCATATTCTACTTGGTTATAGTAGCCAAAACCACTTAGCTACTTCGTTCAAATATATCCATTTCCGGGACATATCAATATATATATATATATATATATATATATGTGTGTGTGTGTGTGTGTGTGTGTGTGTGTGTGTGTTTAAAAAATGACATTCTTTAAAAGGAACCTTTTTCGTTCTACATATATATATATATATGTGTGTGTGTGTGTGAAAGAAAGAAAGAGTCGTTGGAAAACAACAATAAACAACAACCATAAACAGCGGCAAAACTGAAAAGTGCAGGGGGGGGCAGAGACGAGGTAAATAATGAGCCACGGCTAAAACAAATTTATTACTAAAACGATGTAAATAAGCTCCTAGTGAGTATAAAACAACAACAAAAAATATTGTACTCACGACCTACACATGAGACATCGAGAACGAAGAATGTTCTCTTGCCTGCCCAAAGTTGATCGATGAACCCTGATATAGACAGGTTCGAAAAAAAAAATGTAAATGTTTATCCGACCGAGCTTTGTACAGTACCTTAAACGTTTCATCAGAATATTTCACTGCGCACCAAATGTAGTCTAATTGCAGACCCCATCCTGTCTCATATGAGTAGGTATTTGTTATCCAATCTGGGTCTCTAACGGCAAATTTTAGTTCAAACCTATCTCTCTCTCTCTTTCTCTCTCTCTCTATACATATATATATATATATATATATATATAGTCATCCATAGACAGACTGTTTCGCTGTATCACAGCTCCTCATTGTGGCTAGACGTCCGATTGTTTCACCAAATGTAGTCTAATTGCTGACTCCATCCTTCTTATATGAGTAGGTATTTGTTTTACAATCCGGGTCTCTAACCGCAAATTTTAGTTCAATCTCTCTCTCTCTCTCTCTCTCTCTCTCTATATATATATATATATATATATATATATATATATATATATATATATTTGTTTGAATAAAAGACAGACCACGTTAAGGTTCCATGTAATAAGCTATTTCACCACAACCCCTTTAACAGGGTTCTGGATCATCAGACTTTACTTCAAAAAGCTGAAATGAAAAATGAAAAAGAAATTCACACGTTTTTTACGGACCTCATCAAGTATACGCAAAGTTAACGAAGTGAGGAAGTGAGGTGGGAGAGAGGATATGAGTGTGTCATATGTATCATTTTAGTTTCTATTTTAACCTCAGTGTGTCGGCTGGATGTTGCTCAAATTTAACGCGTCTCGTCTCTAGAAAAAGGTGGTTAGGGGTGAGCGATAAGGACTACATTAAAGGGAGACGTTACAACAACCCCAATAAATTACGACAGGTTTCATTCAAATTCTTAGACGCTGTCAGTTCGCGTTACTTTAACGTGCATATTTGGGAGGTTAAGGTTTGATAAATATCTAAATTTTAAAACAATCTACGAAGAAATTAATTTGAAATTCGGTGGAGTTTTGGGTATATATATATATATATATATATATATATATATATATATATATATATATATATATATATATATATATACGTGCTCTGTCTGAAAAGTAACGGGACTGCTGTCACCCAATTTATTTTAATTCAAAACAATAAACTACATGTTTTCCCTTTTAAAGTAATCTCCCTCGAGTCTAATGCACTTCTACACCCTTCTCTGACATGCTTCTATGCACTGCTGGAAGGTTTCTTCTTTGATGCTCCTCAGCGCTGTAGTTACGACCCTCCTGATGGCCTCCACGTTACAGTGACCCAACTTTTCTTACAGTAAATACACCTATTGATTCGATGTAGTCGCCCCACTTCAAATCAGTTGTAAACATGAGGCTGAGAAGGCGTAGAATGTTGCTCTCCTGGAGTCTAGCGTCGACCATGCTGATGGGAAACAGAAAAGGTTCTCTATGTTGGTTAAATAAAAGCAGTTTTTGTTTTGGTGGTGTTAAAATTTACAAGTTATTTCTTGCCCAGTTAAGTAATGATTGGAGATTCTTTTAAAGATCATCTGTCACGTTTACTTTGTAAGATCTTACTTACATAAACACACACACACACACGTGTGTGTGTGTGTGTGTGTGTGTGTGTTTCATTAACAATGACTGACAAGGAAGAAAGAATCTTTGAAAATGACTAGTAGTCAATTGCTTCGTCCACCGCAAGGAAAGTTGGCTCCCTGTGACGCGCAAGGAAATTTTTCTCCCCGGAATCGATCCTCCAGATATACAAATCAACAATTCGCCCTTGCATGGAGTATTGCTGCCATATATGGTCTGGAGCCCCTTCTGTTTGCCTCGGGGTTCTTGATAAGATATGCAATATAATTGGCCCTGTTCTGGCATCTCGTCTACAGTCACTTTCTCACAGACGCACCGTCGCCTCTCTCTGTCTTTTTTTTACAAATACTTTCATGGCAATTGCTCCGAGGAGCTGCATTCGCTGGTTCCCAGACTTCATGAATTCAAGTGCCCTACGAAGCTGGCATCCCGCTCTCACCCTTTCACTGTCAAAACTACTAAATGTAGCCGTCTCTTCTACTCCAATAGCTTCATGTCTCGCACCTCTCACCTGTGGAACTCCCTTCCCTATTCCAGTTTCCCTGAGAGCTATAATCTCCAGCTATTCAAATGTAATGTCAATCGACATCTCCAGTTGCCTTGGTCTGTTCACTATCCTTCTCCTCATCCTTTCCTCTATCATTCCTATCTGATCTTGCTCCAAATCTTCTGTAACCTCTTGCGTCCTAGTGGCTTCCCGCCTTGCTTGGGGTGAAACGCATAAAAAAAAAATCATTTGAAAGTGATTGCAACAAAGGGCAATTTGGACAATTTCTACACATACTCTAAAAATATCTATTGCTTACAAACATAAAAATAGACAATAAAAACTTAATAGAAATTCTTTATCAGCCATTGTTAATGAAACTCTCATTTATACACGTGTGTGTATGGGTGTTAAAAATTAATGAATTTATTAATACGATATTATTCCATTTTTTTATAATGATGTTCACACTGTACAAAGCCCAAGAGCCACTCAAGGTAGAAGGGCGCAGTTCCTGCGGATATTTGGGAAAGGTAACTGTTAACTCTTGACATGAACCGGTTAAGATTGTAGCAATCGGGGAAGCATTCTCTTGATAGTCGGTTCCACAAATCAGCGGTTTGTGAGAAGCTGCTGCTCGAGTGGAACTTAGGTCTCACCAATGGAATACGAAGAGAATGAGGGTGGTTTCCTATAATGTGCATAGAATGGCAGGTCTTATTCGTGAAGGTTAGAACGGGTGGAACTAAAGAATGTAGTTCGTCTGAAAACTTTACATGGAAGTAACGATAGAGTAGCGAAGTTTCGTCTGTGACAAACGGATTGCAAGGAGAAAAATAATTAATCACCCACAAGGACGCGGAGATGCTTTTAGACTATTGACTGGAAAGCGAATACTGTGTAGCTCCAGTCTATATATGGTATTACTATAAATGTACTATTTAGTTGCCACACTTATTTGAGTCGACACCTGGACAATTATTACATCTTCCTCACAGATGAAGAGACTTGAAGTAACAGATATATAGTTCCACAAAAGAATGCTGAGAATACCTTGGACCGACCATGTGAGAAACGTCAAAATATTAGAGAAAACGAAAGCAAAAATGCATACTTAATATCAGGATGAGACATTTGAAATTTCTGGGGCATATGAGAAAAGAGGGCTAGGAAAATTTGATACTCAGAGTACAGATTGAGGGCAAGTGGAACAGAGGAAGACCACACATAACCTCCCTCATGAGACAAAATTAAGAGCTGCAAATGACAGAACTTTGGGGAGAGCTGTGATCGCCAACAGCCTAAAGGGACACAGATCATAGAAGACACCAAAAGGAATCTCTTGTTCGCATACATGAAAAATACGGTAGGGAACTTAAAATAGTAGCAACTTCAGTCATTTTTAAAGAAACATGTGATCAAGAAGGATTGATACCCAAATAGACTATATATATATATATATATATATATATATATATGTTGGTTGGATATGTGAGTTTGTGACCCTGGGTTTCACGCTTTAGCGATCGTCGTGTTTGTCTGACGATCGCTAAAGCGTGAAACCAAGGGTCACAAAACTCACATCTATCCAACCAAATATGTTAGCGCTTTCTGATATTGATTACCGATTATATAATATATAAATAATTATACATATATATATTTATTTATATTTATATACTTATTTTTTCTGATTTATATATATATATATATATATATATATATATATATATATATATATATATATATATATATATAAATGAATGAATTGCGTGTCTGAGTCTATGTTTCCATTTACATTCCTTCCGTCAAGCCTAGTACACCCAGTGAGGATCGAACTAATTATTCAGTAATAATGGTCAGCCAAACATTTTCCTACGTCGTGGTGTTTGCATTTTTCTTCTTTTTCTCTTCTCTGGAAATTTCTTTTTCATTTTTTCTTGTCTGTCACGTTCTTTTTCGCAGACTTTTATCTTTTGTCCTTCCTTCCTTCCTTCCTTCCTTCCTTCCTTCCTTCCTTCCTTCCTTCCCCGCCTTCACGCTTTTCTCTGTTCCTTTTTCTATCTTCCCATCAATCTGTGGGTGTACGTGTCTGAAAGAGACAGTCTATTTTCTCTATTTAATACTGAAAACCTTTCTTTTCTCCGCTCAACCCTCCCCCCCCCAAACCAAACTGAAAGAGCTAAAGATGTGAATTTTTTTCCAAATGTGTTTTAGCCGATGGCCATCATGGCAAGTCTATGCCACTCATTCTCCGACACTTCCTCGTTTTTCTCTTTTCTACTGTAAATGCTAGAACACTCCTGCCTACACGGACACCTCAGGCAAATCATAATATAGTGAATCCTGCCTCTTCTGTTTTGCTATTTTTTAAATAGTTTTTCGTGTTTTCTTTGTCATTTCTTCATGTTTTTGCTTTTTATTCTGGTTTATTCCATTTTTTTTTATATTTCATATATGTTTTTTCTAACCAATCCTCTTTTGGTCATTTCGAACTTCCTCTACGATTCCAAAACATCATTGCTCCACTCTCGTTCCTTTCTTTGCTTTCATGATCTCTGTCTCCATATTTACTAAACTTGTCTTAGTCTGGCACAAGTCCAAAGTAATGGATACCCAATGAGGATCGAACTCATTTAGTAGTTATAGTTAGCCATTAATCAACGTCACGTTGCCCACGATCTTTAACTAGTCCTTTTTCTTCTTACCCTCTTTAGATTTTTTCGTTTCCCACCTTCGTTTTACGATTTTTTTCGTTTCCCTTTATGTAGGAATATTTTCCCGCCTTTTATTCTTTACGTTTTTTTCCCTCGCTCGTTCATTCATTCATTCATTCATTTATTCATTATTGCTTTCTTTTCTCCATTCCTTTTTTACCTCTTATCTGTTTTTTCTTCCTGTTTTTTCTTCTTTACTATCGACGTTTCTCCTTCATTTTTTCAACCCTCTTTTTGCTTTTTTCTTCTAACCCTCCTTCTTGTCCCCTTATTTAATTCTTTCTCTTTCTTTCGTCTTTTCTTCATTACTGCCTTATTGTCTCCATTACCTCTTTCTTTCTTACCTCCATTTTTCTTTTTCCTTCCTTCGTATTTTTCTTTTCTGTGTCATTTTTTTTCCGTAATGTCTTATTTCCTCCCTATATTTCTTTTCCTTTTAAAGCCAATTTTTCTCATTAACTTTTACTTTTTTGTTTTATTTCAAAATATTTTTCTATGATACACGCACACACACACACACATATAATTTTACTCTCCTCCTTTCTGAAATCTATCTCGCAGTCGGTTGCAATTTCTCTATATCTACCAGCATACGTTTTTTTTTGTCTTTTCTTCCGATTTTTCTATTTTTTTTTTGTTCCCTTTGAATTTCCATTCCTTCTTTCTCGCCACTCTTTCCCCGATTTCTAGTGCATTTTTGTTGTGTCCCTGCATATCTTTCAATTCTCTACCCGTTACCCGCAAACCCTGCCCCACTTGTAGCACTGCAGGAAAAAGACGCCATCTCACTTCCCTGTTGGCCATTTTATACCATTCTCACTCAGTCAAGTAATCAATACAAATTTACATAAGTAACAGATATATTTACATTGGCCTATACATTTCTTATACGTATCTTTGCGCGCCCGCGCGTGTGTCTGAGAGAGAGAGAGAGAGAGAGAGAGAGAGAGATCGTACATATGTTGATCTAGCGTTAAATATATGTATATGTACACAGAAGCAACTAAGCACGTATATATATATATATATATATATATATATATAAAATTTAAACATTACACATGTCTGTATCACGTAAGTGTATATATGATACCACAACGTGTGTGATCATATATATATATATATATATATATATATATATATATATATATATATATATATATATATATATATACAAATATGTGCATATATTCACATACTGTGTGCATGAGCATATGCCAAGAACAATCGATGCAAACAAGGATATTCATATAAAAATATGCGTGTATTCGTGGGGAGGGGTTCACCCAGAAAGCAATGCATCTTTTTTATGATGTTGATACACGACGTGAGAGATGAATGTTGCTGGTGTGGCCGTTGAAATTGAACCTTCCTCTCAACAACCCGTAATATTCTTTTTCTTTGCCTTGTCACATATAGCTATTTGAATGGAAGCCTGGCAAAATGAAAGTTTATTCCACCATGCGGAATTTTTTTTCATCTACTGATAGTCATCAATTGTTGGACGTTTATGTAAACTAAACAGTGGATGTGAGTCCAATTAGTTGCTTTTTGAAAAGAAAAACAAAACAAAAACAAACAAAAACACACACACACACCTAAGTATAATTGAAGACTTTATCATAAAACAACAACACCCTTAAGAACATCAACTGCATATTCGGACAATATACTGGCCATATTTGGGAATTAAAAATATGTCCGACTCTCAGCACTTTTCGCATCATTTGTAATGGCGCAACCAAAAGTCTTTGAAAATGACTAATAGATTAGTCAAAACCGTTTGAACCAAACAATCATTTTGATAATATCTACGGTCATTGATTTAAGAGAAACAAACGTATTCACTCGTAAAAAAAAAACAAACAAAAAAACACAAAGAAAAGCTCAATAGAAGTACCTTTTGAGTTGCTTTTAATGAAACACACACATTATATCTATCTATCTATCTATCTATATATATATATATATATATATATATATATATATATATATAGTTATAGTTTTTTAGCGCAAAAAATAATAGGGGAAGAAGTCGCACTATACACAGGCAATTTTTTGAAGAGGTTAAAAACCAGGCATGAACGAAAACAAAAGCACGGTATCTACATCTTCGTATCGGATATTTTATGGTAAGTGGTTTTTCTCAGCAACTTGGGGGTAGGTTCGTACAAAACAAAAAAAAAAAAAAAAAAAAAAAGCGATGACAATTTATTTGCTATAAAATATCTCCAGAAAGATGCCCAGTACTACAATATTTGAATACGGTAGGCCTACTCGTATTCCTCAGAAGCTGGGGTCGCTTATACATGTGCAATATGAAAAAATCTGGTTTTTCATAAAAAAACATCCAGGGACCACACTATAAATGTAGGAGGATTATATATGGATATATATATATATATATATATATATATATATATATATATATATATATATATATATATATATATATATATATATATATATATATATATATATATATATATATATATACCCACACATATAATCCACACACACACACACACATATATGCATGAATAAAAAAAAAAAACTTATCTTAGCTGACGCTTTTCGCCCTCTGAGGGATTTTATCAAGCCATACGCAAGAATTTTATTTGGTAACATGTTTTTATATACAAGATCAAAAATGATATTATTTTTTCAATTTTTTTTTAATTTAAGAACGCTCAGAAATGTTCATCAGGTTAGCCGAAAAGTCAAGCAATTTATGGAGGACGCGAAGTGACAAAATTCAGTTCATTGTTATGGGTAATTTTGGTTCTAATCACATCCATAATAGTTTTGGATGTGCTTGTAATTATTTCGATGATGTTTAGATTGGATAAATTGTTTTGAATAGTAGATGTTATGGAGTTAGTAGATAGTATTATGTATATATTTTTATCTAGTTTTTGTTGCTGTTAATAATGTTATCTTTTTTTGTATGCTTTTCTCATAGCATTGTGGATGAAATAATAAGAATATTGGAGGTTTTTGGAAGTGTTTTCTATGAATATTTCTTCTTTGGGTAAGTATTCAGGGCTGCAGATTCTTAGTGGTCTTAAATAGAATCCCATAGTTATTCCTGATTTGATCTTGTTACAGTGGTGAGAATAAAAATTGACAAGGTCATTCTTATTAGTAGCTTTTCTGTAAACTTCAAACTTTAACGTTCGTTATTATTTCTATGCAACATGATATTTATCTTTGTTAGACTCAAATTCAAAAGTAAAGTCTATTGTGGGTTAGACATTATTAAGTTTGTTGACAAGATCGCGAAAAATTATGTTGTGTGGATATATTAACAGAGGATCATTTATGTATCTGAAATAAGTATTTTGTGGTAAAATATTTTTGAAAGAAACACTTTCCAGAATTTCCAGAAATAGACAAACCAAAACACCAATAAGAAGAGACTCCATCGGTAAAACAAATTTCTGTCTATAAAAATTGTTATCGAAGGTGAAAAATTGGTGATTAAATGAAGCATTTTTATGATTTTAGATGTAGGAATAAGTAATTTTCTTTTAGTTAAATGTTTTTAGTAAAAATTTGACATTTCTTTACAAGAACATTTGTGTATAAAGATTTTATATCTAAACCCTTGATTATTATGTGTGGGGCGCAGTTGAGCGTTAGATCAACAAAACTCTTTGTAACACCCAAAAATGAACTGAAGGCAAGAATTCTGGTAACATTCACCAACTTAAACATGGAGACCGTTCAGAAGAGTTGCAGGAGATTCCGAAGTTGTCTGGAGTCCATAGTTGTTGACGATTTTACTGAATAAATTTACTCTTTAGTATTTAAAGACATTTTCTGTAATTTTGGTAAATATATCTGTTAAAATGAGATGTCAGTGTTATTTTTATTTTTGCGTCCTTTAGACGACAATTTATACATCGCACCCAGTATATATATATATATATATATATATATATATATATATATATATGCCCGCGTAAAAAAAAAGCCTCGTATACAACACAAAGTTAATAAGAACACCTAACGGTAAAAAAAATGTGGAAATCTTAAATGCGCTTCTCTTACAACAACAGATAATCATTTAATTGCACTACATACGAACACGGCCGAAATTTTCTGACCGTATTCGGAAACTATGAAAAACTCCATAAGAAATATTAATTCACATTACCACAGAAAATTTACTCACTTTGAACGTCCCTAAAGTATTAACAGAATGCACCCGGAAAAATTAACACTACGAACAGTAAGTCCATAAAAAAGATACTTTTTAAGAATCTAAGTAAAATTAAATAAAAACTCACAGAATATTCCTTTTATGTCATATTTAACGAAACAATGATAAAAGAAGGTTTGCTGGCGAAATATACATTATGCGTATATCTATATGTATTTTCAAAGTAACAACACACACATATACATTTATATATGTGAAAATATGATTGCAAGTTTACCATATGTATATTTAAATATGCTTGCATAAATTCATGTGGTCTCACATAGAAATATAAATAGGCGTATAAGAACATCTACATAAACGTGCACACACTAAAAGAAGCAACATATAAGATTCAATGTATATATTTTTCAGATTCTCTGTTTATTGATTCCCATCAATTCAGCTGTCAGAACTGAATGTGCTTCGGCGGGCACTTCATATTGGTAGCGAGTACGCCTTTGGCCATAACAGTCCTTTTTTTGTATTGATGCAGAAGAGAGATATTAAAGGCCAAAATTAATGGCTGTCTTATCTACACTGTAAAAGGCTGTGACATTATTAAACAAAGGATAACCAATTGTGGTTTACTCAAGTCAAAACTTATTCAAATGCATTGTTTGCCGAATAGTATATACCTTTATACCAATATTGGGATACCATTTTGCGTGCTCCTGCCACGATCCCGCTCAAAAGACAAGGTTTACTGATATACTTTCTGGCTGAATATTCAAAAGATATCCAACCATGACATAAGCTATTATTGTTAATACTGTTTATTATAAAAACGGAGCATTTACTTAAATATTTGTGTCTATATAAATAACGTATAACAATCGAATATATTAAAATAATCGTCGGACTTTGTCCATTTCATGACGTCATTTGTTTACGTTTAGACACTCTTCGAGCAGATATGATCATTCTAGAGAAATCATGGAAGATTGTAGTTTGAAAGCAGTAAAATCGACCTTGGTAACCAGACACTCTTCTGTAGCTAAACTAGTAGAGCACATCAGGCTATATGATGGTTCGTTTCCTGTCGTAGGACACATATATTCTCAGGCGTTCAGGCCGGTAAATGTTGTTAATACTGTTTATTATAAACAGAGTATTTACTTAAATATTTGTGTCTATATAAATAATGTATAACAATAAAATATCTTAAAATAATTGCCGGACTTTGTCCATTTCGTAGTGTGTGAAGTCATTTGTTTACGTTTAGATACGCTTCGAGCAGATATGATCGTTTGAGGGATAAGCATGGATATCAGTGCAGGGATCAAAGTGAAAAAAACATTACTACGAAAGATAGGAAGTTGTAGAAAGCCATGATCATTCATTTACTGAAGGAGACATTGGATCGGACGACGTGGCAATATTGAATGGCCACCAAGTTCATCTGACTTAATACCAATGGACTTCGGGAAATTATGGAAGATTGTAGTTTAAAGCAGTACAATCGACCTTGCTAACCAGACGCTCCTCTTTAGCTAAACTGGTATAGCACGTCAGGCTATATGACGGTTGCGTGTAAGATACTGGTTCAATTCCTGTCGGAGGACATATTTTCTATGAAAATTTCTCGGACGTTCAGGCCGGTAAATGTTGTTAATACTGTTTATTATAAAAACAGAACATTTACTAAAATATTTGTGTCTATATAGGTAATGTATAACAATAAAATATATTAAAATACGTAAATATAAAAGGTGGGCCAGAAGTAGGTATACAACTGTTTATTTATATACTGACACGACTTATTTTTTTAATTGGTAGGGCCACAATTCAGAAGAAGAGCTAGCTTCGTTGAACTGTTTTTTTTCAACAAGATGGGGCACCTCCTCATTATGCTTTTGCAGTAAGAGACTACCTTGATCAAACCTTCCCACGACATCGGATCGGACGACATGGCAGAACGGAATAGCCACCAAGTTAATCTGACTTAACATCTGACTTCGGGTTTTTGTTTGTGGGGGTGTAGTAAAGAATAAGGTTTATAAGAAAAATGCCCACACAGTAGACGAATTAAAAGTGTGACGAAAGATAAAGTTACTTACCGCGACAAACGGCACGTGTGTTCTATAGAAGACAAAATAACTCAAATAAGTTGTGGCAGCTGTTGCCATAAATGCATCTCGGAGATGCTAATATTTTTTGTTTTCTCCAACTGTCGACCAATGAAAAGAAATTATTCCGGTTTGTGTTCTCGAACGGGAGAGCAGTTTTTTTCTATTTTGTCCATCGGCTTGCGAGTGTTGCCCTGTATGTTGGAATTCTGACGTTTACATATATTGGGATTTTTGACAATGATCCTGATATTCATGACTTCGACATTTCTTTCTGCCCCACGCCGGATCTTCCAGTTTGGACTTGCAATTTTTTCATTTCCTTTTGAAACTGAGTTTCCATATCTGTAGTTGAAGGCACGCAATCGTCTTCAAATATATATTCAGTTGAAGCCATAATTGTATTCAAAATATTTAAATTTCGCCATGAAATAACCCATAGAAGTGTTGATGCGCCGCTAAACAAAATCAACCACAATCAACTCTCTGATATATGTGATATTGAAATCTAAATGTGTGTTGGAACACAGAAAAATGCCTCCCAAAATCTAATCAAAGTATTAATTGATTGATCGATTCGTTTTTACGGCTTATCAAACCATTGCAGTTTAAAACCAGAAAAAAATCTATTTTTAGATTGTAAGAATTTATTTTTTGAGATAATCATAGCTGGAGGGAGAAGAGATGGTTTCATGCCTTTCCCAATGATATTTACGCGAAAGTGAATGTGACGAAACCAACAAGAATTTGAACTCGGCTCTCCGAGTTACAATTCCAAGCCATTATCAATTACACCATCGCACGTTCAAGCTTAAAACACTTGGTATATCCATGCCTTCACCCATGCAGGTACTTAACTTCTGTGATCGTACGGGAACCAATGTTTCATCATGATGCGGCCGTAAGCCACCAGTCGTTCACTTTCTGAGCGACTGATCGGTTCAACTCTCTGTCTGAGGGAGGGAGAGGAACCCGAAGGAGGCTACGCCGAAGGGCGGAGTCTCCTTCGGGGAGGTAAAACCGGCCCTGAACCCGTTGATGCGGGTTCAAACGGGCATATTTTTGGGCCGAGCCCACGGGCTCGGGAAACCCACAATAAACAACCGACCTTGTGTCACATGTTGCCCCAGTGGGGGGGGGACTCAATATCGTAAGCCACAAAGTATTATGAAAGAGGAAAAGTTCGTAGGAAACAAAATATTGCTAACCTGTTATGTGATACCAATCCGCCTATACTGTGTTGAATGCAGAATAATCTAATAGATGAAGAAGAGACTTGAAGTAAAAGGTGTGGTTCTACAGAAGGATGCTGAGAATATCTCGGACTGAACATGAGAGTAACGATGACGCTTTAAGGAAAATAAAACAAAAAGATACTTAGAATCAGAAAGAAGCAGTTTAACTTTCTAATGAAGATAGAATCTGGCATTCACAGGACATATTGAAGGCACAAGCAGCAGATGGAAACAGAAAGTAATCTACCTAAAAAGCTTGTCTAAATGTATATCAATACAGGGATCAAAGAGAGAAAAAAAACATTACTACTAAAGATGGGAAGTTGTAGAGAGCCATGATCATCTACATACCGAAGGAAAATGGTGCATAAAAGAAGAACCGAATTATCGAAAATTATCAATCAAATTCTGCGACGATACAAAATCTGTAACAGAGAGGTCAGTGGAAATCGAAGATTAAACAAAGAAACGTTTTCAAAAAGTATGAAAAGGGAAGTTGTAGAGAGCTATGATCATTCACGCACTGAAGGAACACGGTGCATAAAAGAACCGAATTATCGAAGATTATCAACCAAATTCTGGGTCGATACAAAATCTGGAACAGAGAGGTAAGCGGAAATCGAAATTTAAACAAAGAAATATTTTCAAAAAGTATGAAAAATCTAAAATAGATGATTTTTTTGTTTTTTTTTCCTGGGGCAAAATTATTCTGCAGTTTAGAACAAAGAAACAAAAATTAAGTATTTTCATGAGGTCCGATTAAAAAAAAACAACAACAAAAAAAAAAACATCCCAAAAAAACAGAATCCAGTAGAACTTGAACCGCCCCACCCCCCAAAAAAGAAGTTAAAAGCAAAAATCCTGACTGCAAACGAGTCCCACTTTGTAGAACTTTGCCTCAGTGTTATTCGTAATTTTTAATTTTCGAAGATGTTTGATTAGAAATCGGAATTAAAATAGAGAAACAAATGACAATCCACGTAAAGACGATTAAGTAAATAATCCCATCATAAGTTTACCGAAAATCGAAGATAAAGAATGAATCTAGAGAAAAACATAATAAAAGAAAAAACATTTCGGAGAAAATAGAAAAAAATCTTGAAATAGTCGGGAGTTTGTGCGTTGGAAAATTATTGAATGTTTGAAATGAAAGCTTAAAGATACTAATCGAAATGTAAAAAAATAAAGGCAGATAGGTTTTAAAATGTCAGATTAAACATTGACATTTACAAACTAAATTCAGAGTGAGAAAAAGAATCAGATACAGAAGGACATAGAGAAAGAGGCACGGAAACATTTAGAGAGATAGGCCGATAGAGAGCGAGAAAGAGGCTGATAGAGAGATAGGCAGATAGAGAGCGAGAAAGAGGCTGATAGAGAGATAGGCAGATAGAGAACGAGAAAGAGGCTGATAGAGAGATAGGCAGATAGAGAACGAGAAAGAGGCTGATAGAGAGATAGGCAGATAGAGAACGAGAAAGAGGCTGATAGAGAGATAGGCAGATAGAGAGCGAGAAAGAGGCTGATAGAGAGATAGGCAGATAGAGAGCGAGAAAGAGGCTGATGGAGATAGGCAGATAGAGAGGAGAAAGAGGCTGATAGAGAGATAGGCAGATAGAGAGCGAGAAAGAGGCTGATAGAGAGATAGGCAGATAGAGAACGAGAAAGAGGCTGATAGAGAGATGGGCAGATAGAGAATGAGAAAGAGGCTGATGGAGAGATAGGCAGATAGAGAGCGAGAAAGAGGCTGATAGAGAGATAGGCAGATAGAGAGCGAGAAAGAGGCTGATAGAGAGATAGGCAGATAGAGAGCGAGAAAGAGGCGATAGAGAGATAGGCAGATAGAGAGCGAGAAAGAGACTGATAGAGAGATAGGCAGACAGAGAGCGAGAAAGAGGCTGATAGGAGATGGGCGGATAGAGAACGAGAAAGAGGCTGATAGAGAGATGGGCAGATAGAGAACGAGAAAGAGGCTGATAGAGAGATAGGCAGATAGAGAGCGAGAAAGAGGCTGATAGAGAGATAGGCAGATAGAGAACGAGAAAGAGGCTGATAGAGAGATAGGCCGATAGAGAGCGAGAAAGAGGCTGATAGAGAGATAGGCAGACAGAGAGCGAGAAAGAGGCTGATAGAGAGATAGGCAGACAGAGAGCGAGAAAGAGGCTGGGAGAGAGATAGGCAGACAGAGAGCGAGAAAGAGGCTGATAGAGAGATAGGCAGACAGAGAGCGAGAAAGAGGCTGATAGAGAGATAGGCAGACAGAGAGCGAGAAAGAGGCTGATAGAGAGATAGGCAGATAGAGAGCGAGAAAGAGGCTGATAGAGAGATAGGCAGACAGAGAGCGAGAAAGAGGCTGATAGAGAGATAGGCAGACAGAGAGCGAGAAAGAGGCTGATAGAGAGATAGGCAGATAGAGAGCGAGAAAGAGGCTGATAGAGAGATAGGCAGATAGAGAGCGAGAAAGAGGCTGATGGGGAGAGATAGGCTGACAGAGAGCGAGAAAGAGGCTGATAGAGAGATAGGCAGACAGAGAGCGAGAAAGAGGCTGATGGGAGAGATAGGCTTATAGAGAGCGAGAAAGAGGCTGATAGAGAGATAGGCAGATAGAGAGCGAGAAAGAGGCTGATAGAGAGATAGGCAGATAGAGAGCGAGAAAGAGGCTGATAGAGAGATAGGCAGATAGAGAGCGAGAAAGAGGCGGATAGAGAGAGAGAGAGAGAGAGAAAGAGGCTGATAGAGAGATAGGCCGATAGAGAGCGAGAAAGAGGCTGATAGAGAGATAGGCAGATAGAGAGCGAGAAAGAGGCTGATAGAGAGATAGGCCGATAGAGAGCGAGAAAGAGGCGGATAGAGAGAGAGAGAGAGAGAGAAAGAGGCTGATAGAGAGATAGGCAGATAGAGAGCGAGAAAGAGGCGGATAGAGAGAGAGAGAGAGAGAAAGAGGCTGATAGAGAGATAGGCAGATAGAGAGCGAGAAAGAGGCTGATAGAGAGAGAGATAGAGAGAGAAAGGTTGATAGAAAAAGAAAGAGGGAGATAGAGAGGGGAAGAGAGAGAGAGAGAAGCTGATAGAAAGAGAAAGAAAGAGGCCGAAAGAGAGAGAAAGAAGTAGTGAGAGAGACAGAGAAAGAAGCAGAGAGAGAGAGAGAGAGAGACGGAGAAAGAGGTAGAGAGAGACAGAAGAAGAGGCAGAGAGAAACATGCAGAGTGAGAAAGAGGGAGGGAGAGAGAAAGAGGGATAGAGAAACAGAGAGTGAGAGAAAGAAGGAGAGCAAGAAAGGGAAAGAGAGAAACAGAGAGTGAAAGAGACAGAAAGAGGCAGAGAGAGACATACAGAAAGAGGCAGTGTGTGTGTGTGTGTGTGTGTGTGTGTGTGTGTGTGTGTGTGCTATAGAATATGTGTTGTTTTCTACCATTTTCCTTGCCTTCAATATGTTCTGTGAGTATCAGACTCTCCAAGTCATCTTTCCTCATTATGTGCCCTAGAAATTTCAACTGGCTCTTTCTCGATATTAATTATGCATTGTTTTTGTTTCCATTTACTGTTAAACTTTGTCGTTGCTCACATATTCAGTACATGATATTCTCAACAGCCTTCTGTAGAGCTACATTTCTGTTCCTTCAAGTATCTTTATCTGCGAGGGAATTGTCCATCATTCACTGCCATATAGGAGGACTGATATTCCATAAAATGTAAAACAAAGGAGAAAATTAGAAAGCAAGTGAAGAAGTGGATAAAATACATTTTTTACAGCAATGTTCACTCTTTACAAGGGAGCCACTCGAGGTAGAGGGCTACGTTAGGAGGTAATTTGTGCGAATAGGAGAGGAAGATAACGGTTAACCCTAGCCTTCAACAGGTTAAGATTGTAGTGATCGTGGAAACATCCTCTTGGGAGTCGGTTCCACAAAGCAGCGATTCGCTGGAAGAATCTGTTCAAGTGTAACTTACTCCTCACCGATCAAATACAGAGGGAATGTAAGTGGTTTGCTACTATGTGCAAATATATGGAAAACAAAATGATTTCAAAATATATTGAATGAATATTGCCAAAAATAAATAAATGAATATAAAAAAATATAAATAAATATATAAATAAATATAAATAAATATAAAAATAAATATAAATAAATATATAAATATAAAATAAATAAATATTGCTTAGATTTTTTAATACGGTAGATGTTCTCTTATCCCAACTTCTCAGTGTTGCTATTTAGGTATTTTACATTCAAATATTTTTCTTTTCTTTGCAGATAATTGTAAGTAACTTGAAATTTTTCAATCCATAATGTTTTACACAGAAGAAACTTCAACTGGAAGGAAAAGGGAAATAAATTCTTTCATGTTGCGTCAGAAATTAGAAAAAAACTGGACAAAGTTTCTAATTCGTTGAATTTGCAAATTAACAAACAAGGATTTCAGAATCTGAACGAAATACTAAAACTTGCCCTTGAAGATGGTCCACTGAATATTCTCACTTCGGATGACTTCAAAAATGAAGACGCTAAGAAATTACAAAAGAGTTCGACGATAGAATCGCTTCAAAATGATTTGGATTGTCAAGAAATAGAGGAAGAATCAAATTCTTCCGATAATGGTGAAGATATGAAGAAAACTGGGACTCAGTAGAAAAAGCTGTTGATCAGGTCATCAGGGAGAAAATAATCTTTGTTCAGTAGTACAAAATGTACGAGTGCACGTCATTCGCAGAAATTTTTATTCCTTACTGTGAAAAAACTCAAACATCGAAAAGTAAGTAAAATGAGAAAAGAAATAAGAAAGACAATTTAAAATAAAACTTATTTAGCATTAAATATTACAAATTAATATTTACTTTCATGAGACACGTAATCTTTCATATATTGCGATGAGTTCTTTTTTTTTGTGAAGTTATAATTCTATTACACATACCATATTATATTCGAAGCCGTCTTCATATCGGTACTACTCTCAAGTTCCAATGTGAGGAGTTCTACTGTAATTGAAAGTGATTTTTTATAAAACAGTATAAACACTAAGATTAATAAGGAATTTTCTATCTTATAAAGACGATATATTTATATTGATTTATAGAAGAAGCAATAAATGGCATGAAAGAAACAAAGATGCTAAGTTTTATTAAGTGTTAAATGGTAAAAAAAGAGTATTTTTTAATCATTTCACCCTAAGCAAGGCGATAAATCCACAAAGACGCAAGAAAAAATAATGAGAAAGAGGCATAGAGAAAGAAAGAGAGGGAGAGGCAGAGAGAAAGAGATAAAGATGCAGAGAGAAATAAAGAGGTAGAGAGAGAGATAAAGAGACAGAGAGAGATAAAGAGGCAGAGAGAGAGAGAGAGAGAGAGATAAAGAAGCACAGAGAGAGTGATAACACAAACATAGAGAGAGATAAAGAAGCATACAATGAGAGTTAAAGAGGCATAGAGAGAAAGAGAGAGAGAGAGTAAAAGAGGCATAGAGAAGGAAGCATGTATAGAGAGAAGCATAAAGAGAGAGAAGCATAGAGAGGGAGACATAGAGAGAAAGCAGAGAGAGAAGGATAAAGAAAGTAGGCTATATAGAGAGAAGTATGGAGAAAGAGAAAGAAGCAGAGAGAGAGAGAGAGAGACAGACAGACAGACAAAGAAGCATAGAGAGAGACAAACAGTATAGTGTGAGAGAGAAACAGTGTGACAGAAAAAAGCATAGAGAGAGAGAGACTAAGAAGCTTAGTGGGAGAGTGAGACAAAGAAACGTAGAGGGAGAGAGAGAGAGAGAGAGTACAAAAGGCATAGTTTGTGTGTGTGTGTGTGTGTGAGTGAGTGAGTGAGTGAGAGAAAGAGAGAGAGAGAAAGAGAGAGAGAGAGAGAGAGAGAGAGAGAGAGAGAAAAGCATAAAAAGCATAGAGAGAAAGAAAGATTATTAAGGAGAGAGGATAATAAATGAACCGGAAACAAAGAGACAGAAGATAACGATAGACATTGCATTTAAACTTTTGAAGATCAAAGTTGATTGGAAAAGAAGAAACCGGAAGAGAGTCCCACAATCGAGAAGTGCGAGAGAAGCTCTCATGCATTTGAAATGGAATCATTGAGAGAGAGAGAGAGAGAGAGAGAGAGAGAGAGAGAGAGAGAACGCATTATCTGGTATGATCAACAGGCTGAACAATTCCAGGAATCTCCAAACCTCGGTCACGATGACTTACGACTTTCTGCTAGCATAACCCTCAACGGCTCTCAAATATTTCCGCATAGCCAATTTCACTCAAAAGGCCTGTATCGTTTTCAGACACTTTCTAATGGTACCGTACGCTGAATTCGCCTATTCAGGCCATAACTCAAGAAGTTACTTTCCTGACAAATCGACCATGGTGAGATTCGAACTCTGGTCTCATGACCTTAAAGCTAACCTTCTGACCATCTTATTTCTTCATGTGCCGTATTTAAGAGATCTATTTTTATCCCGAAAATAGCTAAAAATCATTATTTTTAAGGGCTTTCTTTTCATCCCAGAAATGTTTCAAAAAGTAAAACGAGTTTTTTTATTTGCAAAGTTTACTTTTATGTCGTAAACTAGACTTTCTGAAAGTGAGGGTCACATAAAATTCAGAAGGCCCGCAAGTTCATTTGATAATTGTTTTTTTGTTTTAAATTTTATATTCTAGCTTCAGGATAATTATTTGCTGGCCATATCAATGGTTTCCTGTTGTAAAATAAAACTTCGCAATTGTACATTTCGAATGTAAACGAATCCACGAATTTCATACATGCTATATCCTTTTTCAGTGCTGACAAGACCTGTGAAGCTGTTCGAGACATGACGTCTTATACGATGCGTGTATATTTGAACACTAGCGTTCCGGAAATGTCAGGATATCACCAACCAAATTTTATTTACCAAAAAGACAACGTTCAGACCTCAATAATGACTGAAGCAGTCGAAATTGCTTGGACCAAACCAACCACCCAAAAAATAAAAAAAAATTGGACAGTTGAAACAATTTTTGTTTGCAGTTATACAAACAATCCGAAATTTATATAAAATATAATAATTAAGCAAACAGTTCTTATTCTTATATATATATATATATATATATATATATATATATATATATATATATATATATATATATATAATCGACTCTCCTGTCGCGTTCGACGTATGAGGTCAGGCCGATAAGTCCCCAGGAAACCGACATCCTGACACCGGCACATGAGATTTGTTTATAGTGGTGAAGGCCTTGTGCAGGACCAGCCACACTTTTGGAGGGACGAATACAGAAACCTGGTGCATGCCACAAGGTTCCCAAACGACCCTCCGCAGGTTTTGAATTCATATATATATATATATATATATATATATATATATATATATAAAGAACTCGTTAGGTAAATAATCCGAAGTTCTTTAGTATTTTTGTTTTTATTTTTAAAAAACAGTGCTCGATAAAAAAGCAGAGCCTAAATTATTATTATTAATTTAAAAATATGATTCTTCCGCTACATAAAAGTTCTCATGTTTCAAAAACAGGAGCTAAAAACTTCAATGTAATTATTAGAATTAAATTGAATTGAAGTACCAAGCTCTGTTTCGTCTTCAAGTAAAAATTTAAATTTAATTCTAATAATTATATTGAAGTTTTCAGCTCTTGTTTTTGAAACATGAGAACTCTTACGTAGCGGAAGAATCATATTTTTAAATTAATAATTATTTATATATATATATATATATGCGTATATATATATATATATATATATATATATATATATATATATATATATATATATATATATATATATATATATATGTACAAAATTTAATGATCGAGATAAAGAGTATAAAACTTAATATAACGAGACATATTAAAAAAAAAAAAAGCTGAAACAACCGGTTTCGCTCCCGCTCTTCAGGCTTCAACGGAGATTTAAAATTAACGCAGAAAAATGTACAATAAAAGGAATTGTAAGAAAAAAAAATGCAAAAGGAACTAGAGACAAATAACAGCAAGCCCCAACAAACACTCACGTTGTTTGCACAAAGAAGGCTTGCGGGACCCGATGTAAAGTGCCTCCAGAACCTTTAGATAAAATAAGTAGTGTTGTTTTTTCTCTGCTGAAGTTCGGATTATTTTTCAAACTCGGCCTATGTTTCGAGATGCGTGTAAAGACGTTCTCCCTCCCCATCAAATTAATTCAATTATTTACAAATACGTTTGTAGTT